TATATAGAGGTTTTATTTATGAATAAATACTTATATAATCATAAATATTTCAATTAGTTGTTACAATAAAAAAAAAAATTTATACAGTATAAACTTGAAATAGGTGTGCTCATGAAACAAATAATGAATACTGATATTGAAATTTTTTAAGATGAGAGATGTTTGTGGAATAAATAATGTTAGATATTATTATCAATATAGAATTTGACTAAAGATAAAAACATGTTCTAATTTATTTAACCAACCTCGCATTTTGAGTTTTATTTGGAGGGTATAAAAGCATATTAGTAGGTGTAGATATATAATAATGATGAAAGACTTAAATATATACTTTCCTTATTTAGACCAATTCTTCTTTACAAATACCAATTTAGATATCTGTTTACACTATTTGTGATTTAATCAGGGGGAATTTATAGAATATCATGATGGTTATAATGCAGTAATAGAATTTTTTTTCCTTCACAATTTTTTTAAATATTAGAAAAAGTTGCTACAAAAAAAGTTCGTCAGTCATATACTATCCAAGACAAAACTCTTGTTGTTCGGTATGCTCTCTGCACAAGTAATCTTAAAGCTGCTATAAAGTTTAGCTTAGATAAGTTCCAAGTTGGCCGTTAGGTAGTATAGCTGAAGGACAAACTAAATGAAATTGAAAATAGCAAGTCACATCATCTTGAAGATGCTGGTAGAAAGTGCTTTTTTTTTAAAGAAGAAGTGAGGCTTTATAGTTAGATATCTGAAATATGTAGAGTAGTACTTGCTGTAACATATAATAGCCTTAAGTTAAAAATGCTAAAAATTGTTTCTAAAGCTGCTTCAAAAAGCAATGATCTTACAAAAAAAAACTTGCAGACAACTTCAAAGCTTCTTCAATGTGAACTATACATGCCACCAAAATAGATTTTTAAAAAAACCCTATTTCGTCTCTATTAGAGCAATTTAAAATTTTTTATATGCAAGAGCAAATTTAATTTAGATAGTTATATTCTTTATAATTTTGTTTCTTCAAAAAAAGTGTCAAAAAATTTTGTCTTTTAAGTAAAATAGGTCAAAAACAATTTCGTTTTCAAATTTTAATTTTGTACCCCGAAACCCAAAATAATTTCATTGGCATATATAATGTGAACAAAATGTTTTTTAAAATATTATAATCTTGCTTTACGTCAAAAAACCAAAATCTCGCAAAAATGTCTGCAGACCTTGAACAAAAACTGCTTAATTTTAATGGTATGTAATTAAGTTACGTCAAAAAAAAACTATACTCTAAGCAATATAGCAAATATGGACAAGAATTCTATCTGATTTGACATGGCTGGTGATCTCACTATTAAACAAATTGGCACCAAAACTGTTTATATTCGTATAACTGGTAATAAGAAGAATCATTTTACCATAGTTTTAACATGTTTTGCTAACAGACAAAAGCTCTTCCTTACAATTCTGTTCAAGAGCCAAAGATGGGCTAAGACTAAACCTCCTCTTCCTCCTGGTGTAGTTGTATTTTTTCATAAAAAAGGCTGGATAGATGAATTGGACATATTAGCTTGGGCTGATAATTATATTAAAGGTTGTCTAGATGGTCAAGAAAATAAGCTTTCTCTTTTAGTATTTGACTCATTTAAGGCACATCTTACTAATCCAGTTAAGGCAAAGTTATATGAAAACAATAATGATCTGATTGTTATTTTGGGTGATCCAACCTC